TTGCGCGACACCCCCAGCTTTGGTGTTTGGCATTTATGTCTCCACCAATTATAAAATTGGAGTTAATTGTTGAGAAATAGTCGTTAAACTGAATAGCTGAGATGTTGTGTCTCGGAGAACAGTAGATTGAGGCAATAGTGATCGGTATGTTATTTAGCTTAATTGTGACAGCACAAGATTGTAGGTGTTCAAGGGTGAAGTTTGGGAGTAGTGAGAAAGACAAGGCAGATTTAATGATAATGGCAACACCACCATGTGCCGTGTTGTCAGGATGATTCGACTTTTAAGTAATATAACATGGGATATGTACCTGGGAATATTTGGTGAAGTGTATCTCGGTTATTAACGCAATATCGATACGTTTTTCATTCATTAACAGTTTGTATTTCGTTGGCATGGTTTTTTAAGCCATTTGCATTAAAAAGAAGGATAATAAGAGACGTTTTTGTGGGTGAGTTATTTATAATTTTTATTATTTAAAAGTGATTAAATTACTTGTGTTAAGAGGGCAATGGATTAATGGATTAATTAATAATTTAAAGTTGTCAATAAAATCTGACATTGTTTTGTTGATGTCTAACGTTGAAGAAGGGTAATTGCTGTGACCTGTATTAGTTGTTTCATTAGATGTAGCTTGGGCATATGTTTTGGGAGGGGAGTGGGTGTTAGGATTAATATTTGTTGGTAATGGGTGATTTTCTTTTACATTAAAATTATTATTATTAGAATGACTTAAGTTAACATTATCATATATAAATTTACTTTTGTTGTTGGGCTTAGTTCGTCATTGGAGTTTCTTATACACATTTTATCCTCGGTAGTTGGCAGGGTGGCTGCCCAAGCACAGGGCACATTTGGCTGGGTTGTTCCGTGGTTCGGTGCAGTCTAAAGTTAGATGTGAATTTTCACATCGGACGCAGCGAGGAGGGTATCCGCAGTATGAAAGAGTGTGTTCATAGACTTGGCAATTTTGACATTGAGATATTGTTCTTGGCTTATGGGGCTCCTCAACTTTGATTTTCGTATATAGAAGTGAGGGTAATTGGAAAATTTTCAGTGGCTTTTCAGATTTTTCTAAGTCCACGAAGAATAAGGGTAGAGGAAGTTTAATTGTTTTTTGTATAACAGAGGTCACTTGTTTGACAACAAATGATAATTCGATTAATTCTTTTTTAATTTCATTGATATCAGTGGATGGGTGAATATTTCTGATTACTACTCTAATCGGTTTATCTTGTTTTAGCTGGTACGTATGAAATTGAGCATTGTTATTTTTAAGACTATGAACTAGTAATCTGTATGCATCTGGAGTTGCAGTTTGGATTTTTAATTGATCTGTAGTAGATTTACAGAAAAATTTATCTTTGCCAATAAGTTTGCTTATTTCATCACAAAGATCTTTAAATTCTAATACACCTCTGACGAAAATTGGAGGTGGAGGTTTAATTGGTTCATCTGGAATAACTTCGTTTGATATAGTGCTTTTGGCGTAGCAGCGAAAACTTCTTCATCATTTTGCGATAGAACTTCAAAGAGATTGGTAGTTATGAATAGAGGTTTTTTTGATTTTTTGTTTTTCGGTAGTGTTGGTGATTTAATACTTGTACTTGAAGACGTAGAGATATTTCTTTTGTTTTGGTTTTTATTATTTATAATTTCCCTGTCGTTATCTAGATCATTTATTGAACTTGAACTGGCCGTTAATGAATTTTTACCTTTCTTGTTGATAAGATGAACAGGAGCAATGGTTTTATTTTGGACGCCATTATTGTTAAAAGATATTTAAAGAGATAGTTGATATCGGTAATTACCTATAGGCTTGGTCTTCAGATAAGAACGATTTGCGATTACCGGCAACGGCATTGCCCGTATATATTAATTTGAATAAAAATGAACTATTACGCAGTTCACTCGTTCACTATATTTAGTAATAACTAAGACATAGTGGATGTTATTTAATACTCTAATTAAGACATTGTTGTGTAGAGAAACAATGAAAGAAAAAAAAAAAACAACAAGGCAGAATGGCGATGAAAGTACAGACGATCAAAAACACCGTGCGTGTACATCGAGCAATGATACGGAACTGATAGTGTAATGTATGCGAGTTATATTCACAAATAAAACATAAATTAAATTAATATGCATTACGAAGATATTTTTGGTCACTAATTTCAACTGGATAATGATCTGTGTTACTGTACTATTATAATACTGACCAACATATCTCTAAACGAATAAAACAAAAATCGAAATCGTAACATGAAAACGCGTATAACAGGGGTTTTCTCAATTTTCCAATAGAGAAGAGTATTCACTAAGATTCATTCATTCAGATTTTTTTTTTTTATTACTCTATTAATATTATAATGCGAATACCTTTTTTTTTTTTACTTTTCACTGTATATTTAAGTCACGATTTAGTGATAAAAATATTTCATACGTACAATTATAAATATATATATTATGAAAATAAACTTTTTTTTTAAAAATGTTGAATGTAATTACTAAAGCCTAGAGCTTGATGCAATTGCATTTATTTCCTAATGTTTATAATCAAGGCTTAATTGTGTGTCTATCATTTATTATTCTTACATTTTTACAATAATGAGTGAAAATAGAAGATGGGTATGGGAATATGTAAAACGTAAAGGAAAAAAATAATTTTATGAGTTATGTGACGAAGATAACATTTTTATGAACAGTAGGGTCTATAATAGGTTTTTGTTTTTAGTTTCTATGAAAATTGTCGTTATAAATATATCAAATATTTACGTTACATTTGCAGAAGATTTTGTATACCTATAATAACTAATTATTAAGTACATACTACAACTCTAAAATTGTAATGCGTGAATGCGTATATACGTGAAGTAGGGTGATCTAATAGAAATACAAGTTATTTGCGACCCATAATATAGGTTTTGTCTTTTAAGTATTGTTATAGTCTACCATAATTTGAACCAATTTTTTTTTCTTATCGTAGGCCCGTATCGATATTATTTGGGTATAAATAATAATAATATTTTTTTCCTAACAAATAAATTCATCAAATATTCAAAAATTGGTTTTCATATTATCATATTAATCCAATAATCCATAATGATTTAGATTGCTAAAAATAAATTAAACCGAATCTGCAAAGTAAAATCCAAGCAGGAAATCAGCTGTTTGGAAAAAAGGGATGAAATACTTATGCAGCTTAACCAAGGCGGCTGCATCATGGAAATAAGATCCAGAATCACAACCAAATTCAGGTTTATCGAAGAAGAAAAAAAAAATATATGGTCCAGTATATGAGTATTCATATGAGGAAATGCTTCAAAAAATTATATAGTATGTATGGAATATGGTGCTATACAGGTGCAATATTAGATAAAACACAACAGCAAATACATGAAAGCTTTGAAATTTGGTGTTTGAGAAAAATGCTGTGAGTGACTTGTATAGAACCAACGAAAATAATCAGTGAAATAAATGAACGCAGAGACTGTCAAGCTAGATGGAACTAAAGAAGTTAACTGGAAACAGGAAAGAGCGCATGACCGACTATGAAACCAACTATAGGGATAAAAATAATAGAAAGATATATATATATTTAACATAATTAAATCTTATTATGGTAAGGTGGGCGTGACAGTATAAAATAGTATGAAAGGGGAAATTTACCTCAAAAGGTTGAGAACATAGTTTAATTCATTTTTAATTAGGTCATGAAACTTGTTGTCATTTACTGGTTCAATTAATAAATTGATTATTATCTTAATCCATCGAGTTATTCAAGTATTTTGTAATTAATACAATAACTTAATAATAGAATAACTTAATTAAGAATTAATTAACTTATTAAGAATAACTTAATAATAGGATTCTTTTTTTGTTAATATGATAATGACAAATATATAAATAATATATTGTGGCAAAATATTATTGATTATTCAGACTCCAGCTAAGCAACTCTATCTGACAATTAATAGTCAAAATGTGCCCGTTTAAGACTTAAGCAATCTGACTCTCAAAATTAACATATAATTGAACCATAAAGAATAATTGTCATAATAGCTAGACTAGAAAAAAAAAACACATTTTTATGGTCTTCAGAGATAAATTAGGGAATCTTATACGAATAAAATATATATTATTATTGATATAAAAGAGTAAGGAATTTAAATTTAATAATAAGTTTAATAATAATAACTAATTCTTATGCTTATAGTTGTATTTATTAAGAAAATTTGTTGGACCTCTTTAACATAATATTACTAATAAAAAAATTTAATATTTTTAGACAAAAAAAGACAAAAATTAAAACATACAGAAACAACATTTAAATATAAATGACAAATTCTAATGAATATTTATTTTATTTTTAATATAAGTTCAAAATATAATTAAAGTTTCTCACTTAAACATTTGAGAAATTCATATAAACACTTACAATAAAAGGTACTTTTTAAATTTTTGGAACTATCAATGATTTCTGTTTATTGTAATATGATGGTTTATTATTTATATTTAAATAATAAACAATTACAGTTATAATTATTCATTTAATACATTAAACACTCAAAAATACATACATTTAAGTACACATAGATTAAATTGTAGAATCAGTCAATTTAGTATGAATTCCCAAATATGGTTAAGTTTGAGAACTCATCATAAATGTAATATTATTCTTTTTTTATAAAGCATTTAATTAAAAAAAAAAATGTATGCTTTTACAATTTTTTTGACTAGTTAGATGACTTCCCTATTTGAGATAATGAAATAATTTTTATTCATTATTTGTTGAAAGTAATTGTGTTTTACTAAAATTGCATAAAACAGAATAATATTATATTTTTTTGTAAGGCAAGAGCATTTATTTATTTATATATATATATATAAAAAAGAAATAAAATACATAATTCGTATTAATTATTTAGTAAATATATAACATACAATTGCATGATTTTTATACGCAGGTGTAAAAACGCATAATTCTTTTTTTAAACAAATTAACTCATAAGCACACATTTATTAAAGTAATATACATAATAGTCTACGATCAATTAATTACATCACAGAGTTATAATAAGAAAATATCTTTTGTGGCACTAGTGACTTGAAAGATATTCTTCTTAGTATCCATTTAGGCCATTGTATAACTTATTAATCGAGTTTTGACCTAATATTCTCTTGAGATCTAGAAATGAAATAAAAAATAGTGATATTAATATTAATTTAACCTTTACCAATTAATTATAAAACTACTCAGGTTATTCATCTTAAGAAGAGCAAAATCTAGGCCAATATTAATTTAATAGATAAATAATTTTATCACTTATCATTTGTTAACTCTCCGTAAGACAAATAATATTTTTCTTAAAAAAATTTTATACCTAAAGATTTTAAAAGTGAAATACTAATTATTAAGAATTAAATGATTACCTTCTTGATCTTGTTCGCTGAAGTTATTTTTAGGGAATTGGACATCAATGGTGATAATAAGATTACCATGCAAGTTGTTGTTATCATAATTTGGCATACCTTCACCTTTTTTCCGAATTTTTGCACCAGGCCAAGTTACAGTATCTCGTTCTATTGAAATTTTCCGACCATCTAATTGAGTTATCTCTGTTCGGAAGCCAATTAATGCATCCTATAAATAAAACGCTTTGTAGAATATATGCATCACAAATTTATTTTCAATTAACATAGTTTTCATATGGTGTTTATCAGTATTTTATCAGCTTTATAGATAAGTAATAATAACACAATAATAAATATGCTATAGCAGAAAAAACATTTTAACAAATCGAGTAAGATATGACTTGAGAATAAATTAATGTTTTTAACATATAATAATATAGAAATAAATAAATGATAAGCCTGATGTCTTACAATGTTTGTTAAATACGACCATATTAAAGTTTCGAATTAGAAATCCATCGCCAGGTATATAAAAGTCAATAAAATTGCGACTGAAAATGAAAAAAATAAAATGGCAACTAATTTTCTATATTCAGTTGTGATTTTATTGGCTATACACCTGACGATAAATTTTTAGTTTGAAACCAGTTTATTTTACAAATTTAATAATATTGTAGGCCATTTTTATTTATTTGTTTATTTTTTTTTACATAAAATATTTGTTTACTCATTTATATATTGATTTACGAGTGTTAACCATTTAATAATTATTAATTTTTATTTAATTTTATTGAATAATAGTGTTGATTGATTTAATTTAAGCATCATCATTCAATGATAATACTCGTTTTGGATTCGTACAATAAAATATTCTTAAAGAAATTTTATGTCTAAAAAATATTTAAATATGTTTTGTATTATAACGAATTTTCCCAATAGTATGTAATCGAATCTTAAAATAGAAATTAAGTCACATAATTGATTCATATATTGATTTTATTATTCTAATAAATTAGATATGTCACTATTTTGATTACATTAAGTAACAAATTTAGTATAAAAAGTTTTTAACAATAAATAATGCAAAATAAAAACAAATATTTTAAATATACCCTAAATATACATTACCTGTAAAGTTATTGTCAAATTTGTATACAAATCATCACCTCGTCTTTCAAATACTGAATGTGGGTTTGTTTTTATTTTAAAAATAAGATCACCTGGTTCACCATCGATATGTGGTTCTCCTTCTGCAGTAAACTTTGTTTCCTGGCCATCTTTCATACCAGGTTCCACTTCTATTTCTAACATACTTTCTTCAGTAACAAGTCTGGAATAATAAAGATTATGAATATTTTAAACAAGTATATTACATAAAACATTTGAATATTGTAAAGTATTTATTTAAAATCATTATTAATACTAAAATTAATTAAGATTAAATTTATTATAAAGATTATTTTAATTGCAGTACATCAAATTATAATTAATTAATTTTCAAAGATAATTTTTTTTATAAATTAATTTAAATTATGTTATGAAATAAGAACCAACAAATTATAGCTTACTTTACATTGGGACATTCATCACAAACATTTTGTTGCATCATTTGAAAACGGCCCGGGCCTAACTGTTTAGTAATCATTTCTTGTCGACAATTACATTGTCTAGTACCATGAGCTGGTTTTATGACAGGCTTATTTCTTGTAACCTTAATTAAAAAATGTTCAATAAATAATTGCTAATTATATATATTTTATTAAAATTAGAAATTTAAATATTAATAAAAGCATACCTGAATAAAGTTACCATTATATAATTCTTCTAAAGAAACATGCAAGTCTAAAACTATAGTGCCACCTTTAGGAATTTCTTTTTGTCCAGATGAATCATCAAAATGAAAACCAAAGTCTCCAAAAAAGCTGGCGAATGGATCATGACCAGAAGCCATGCTATCTTTTTTAACACACTGCTCACCACATCTATCATAATCTTTCCGCATTTTTTCATCAGATAATACTTCATATGCATTTCGTAATTTTGAAAACTTTTCAGCTGCTTCTGGATCATTTTGATTTTTATCAGGATGAAGCAGTTTTGCCATTTTACGAAATGCTGATTTTATTTGATTCTGCTTAGCCGTGCGTGGAACATTCAATATGTCATAATAATTCCTAAAATTAAAATGTTTAGTTAATAATAATTATTAACTTGACACAAATGTAATTTAGAAAATATAATTTAAAGAAGGTATATCAGTTTTTTTTCTTTTTGACAGTGAAACCTGTCAATAGTATACATTATTTAAAATTAATTTTTTTTTATAATTTTTCAAATAAATTTTAATACAGAATTACACTGTGTATATATTAAGCAAATGCTCCTCATTATATAGTCAGATTCTTTTCCTTTTTTTTTTTTACTTATAATATAATCAATATAAAACAATTAGATGAAAATACTAAAAAGTAAATACCTAATATATTTCTTACATAACATTTTTTAAATAAATCATTTATTTATTTAAATGAAAATAATTTTAAACTAAATAATACATATTTTTTCTTTAAGTTCTCTAAAAAATACTTATTTTAAATTAAAAAGTATTAATACTGTTTTAATAATTTAAAAGATAAAAAATTGAAATGAACAATACAATTTCAGATTTCATTATTATAATATTCTAATGAAAATTTAATATCATGTAGTTGTTTTATTGATAAATAACTTAGAAATAACAATGAATGTACAATTTAACAACTAACAATTAATTTAAATGAGATTATTAATGTTATTAAAACGTATAAAATAATATTTATAAGAATGAAATGTGCTTTTCATATTATTTAATAATAACTCATAAATTGGAATAGTATTATTGCGTTTGATAAATTTTAATTCAAAACCTCCAACTTTAAATACTACCGAAGTTTGAGGTTTAATTTTAAGACACAACTATAAAGATATACAATTTGTTCTTTTAATTACTAAAGTACCTGAATTCTAAAATATAGTTGACTACTATTATTTCGATAGAAATTTACATTAAAAAGAAAAAAAAAAAATTAAAATATAATTATAATTAAAATAATTCATAGGAAAACACAGCAGAAATTAATTAATGGCAAAGAGTTAACCTTCAGTTTAAATTATTTTAAAATGTAGACAATTCTTATTTTGCCTAGTAAGGGAGTATGTTTTAAGTTTACTCAGTTATTTTGAGATTTATGTAATATTATGTTTATAGTTTATTCAGAATAAGAGTGCCCAATCACTTGGACGAAAACTGGTTTTTACTACATATGTATCCTTTCCACTAGGAACGTTGTAGTATGCCGACACGTTACGACGCTATTGTACGTAGTGAACTGTATTACCACATTCTTCTCGTAACGCAAAGCTATAGTTCTATTTTGAATAACAAGGTTTTTTTTTTAATAATAATCTGTATACAAAGCGGTAGACACCGACTTTGACAAACAATGACAGCGGTCGAACAATGGCAACGAATCATAGAGCATCTAGATATCGATGAGTGTTCGACTGTAATCAGCTTCTTGGAAGACATGCGCGAGTTTGGGCACTCATAATCTGAACAGACTATAGTAATTTAAAGAAGATTAATTGCTAGTTTTGTCTTCATAAACGTAATATTTTTTTCAATGAAATATATTATTTCTTAAGGTAATACACATGATAATACTTAAGTAAACTTTGCAAAAATGCTGTAATTTCAAATATTTCCAAAATTATGTTTGAGTTATTGAAAAAATAATTATGCATTGATATGTATCTCAACAAATTAGTTATGACATTTTAACTTAAGAAAAGCATATAAAACAAGTACACAATACAGTTTCATTATTTTTTATCCATTTACAGCATTTTTCTAAGCAGAGTAGTATTGTTCGATGCACACAACTTTAATGCTAGAACATTTACAGAACTACAGGAATTTATTGTCTATGGTATCCAGTTTAGTATTATTGTAGAAACAACATATACGGTGTACACATTATAAAATAGCAACAAATGTTTCACGGTACGACGGAACTTTTTCCGGTTAAGAAAAAGCACTAAGGATCTAGGAGAGGGATCGATGACGATGAACACCGGACGCTCAACTACTAATGATATGCTGTTAAGCCTGAGCGTTGCGCACAACGTTCGGACAAGACCGCGCAGACGTTACGGCCGCGGTACTTGGTACTTACTGACAGAAGACGAGTACGCAAAACGTCAACAGATGGACGACGACGAACAGAATGGGATTGAAAATCATTTTGTAGGCAGGCTAGGTAAAACGGGGGGGTGAACGAAACGACGACGTGGTCGGCACAATGGTCGCCGGTCGGCGCGTACTGCTGAGATTCGGAGCGACGGCGGTATCGTCGGGCACGGTCGTCACGTCGGTCGGTCGTACTAACAAGTCGATTCGGAACGACGTGGGACCGTGTCCATTACACCGGTGAAACGAGAACGGGAAAACGGTTTGCGACGCGCGTAAAGTGTTCGGCTTGGCAACCCGTATTCAAATCGCGGTACGCGTTCCGTCAACCTCCGTTTGATAGTGTAATCAAAAACAATGTGGGCGATTCCGATTGGCCGGCGCGTTCTGGCCCGCGCGCTATCACGAACGTTAATGTCGACACCGCACCGTGGTCAACTGCTCCGACGCGACATTGCCTCCCCAGCACGCACGTAACCCGGTCGACGTGTACTGCCGCGCGCGCCGTGACACGTAGGCAGATGTATACCAGCATATAGCAGCGTGCTAATGGGGCGAATGGGCCAGTCGCCCCTCCCTTGGCTTTTTTTTCTTCAAATTCTCGTTATGTATTGTTCATTTGAAAAATACATAAGTGTGAATGCGTGCATGATGTTCACTCCCCCTCCCACTGTAAAAGTGTCTAGGAACGCCATTGCACCTGCGTCAGGTGCGAGTTTAAGGGGGCGTCTAAGGGGGAATTATCCCCCCCCCACCTTGGGACTAGGCTAACTATTTTACAAATCTAAGTATTATGATGTATTGAGATATTAATAATTATTAAAAAATATCGTCAATCGTCATTGATGAATATGGTACCTATTTTACACATTTTTTTTTATAAATAAATAGCTCATTTTTGTTGTTAATTATATGTATACGTATACCTATATTTTTAAAATGGTTTCAGATTAAAATCGATACCAATAATGTAACTATTTAAAATTTGTCACTTTTATGGAAAAAATGATTTACTTATGAGCATAGGCATGCGCAATGGAGGGAGGGCGTTCCCCTTGCGGACTCTGACTTTTATTTTAATAAATGTATATCTATACTATACAAAACTAGCAAACATTTTTACATTTTACATGAATAAAGTAAAGCCAGTTTTGATCTCATAGTATAAAATTTATATCTGTGAATAAATGTAATAAAGTTATTAGTTATTAAACAGACTAATTAGAACTTGCATATAATACAAAAATTGAAGATGTAATTGATACATTCAAAAACCTTACTCCCGTGGACAGAAGTATGGAGTTGTAAATAGTATAATAATATGTAAATAAGGATTTCTTAGATATAAATTGTGTAAGCTTAAATAGTATTTATTTTTATATTTGCATATTGAATTAAATAAATAATTTATAAAATTTAAAATATTTAATTATACTAGTAGTCTTTAGTACAAGAATCTTTGGTTCACTTTTTTTAAGGGGCCCTCCTGCGGACAAAGTCTGTGCACGCCTCTGCTTATGAGGGACTCAAAAATATGTTCTGTAATTTAAAATTGTACATAGATTTAAAAAACAAGTAACCAAATTCTAAAACCTCCATTAGCCCCTTCCTTGGTGAATGATAAAACCCACCCCTGACTTTGTGTATTTACTTCCTCGGTGGAGGCTATGTCGAAATTATATGCGAAACGTTGAAACGAAAAAACGCGATTGACGAAGGAAATGTATTTGAATAGAATCATCACCAGGACTCATAACTTATAGAATTTACATTTTTTTTTTTGAGAAGTCCTAGAAATACTTAAGTAAGCTATACATTTGTTTTAGATAACTAAGAAGCTAAATGCGAAATTTTATGTTGCATATTTTTGCATATTTAGAAATTTGTTATTTGCTATTTTGCTTTTTTAAGTCTTTCAGTTCTGTACCATTTAAAACATTTTTTTTTTTAATGATAAATAGTTATTATATTAGTATTAATTTTTATATATGTAATTAATTCATGTTAATTAACTAATTCTTTTCTTCTTCTTAAGGTTTAAATTATTTATTTATTTATATCATATAGCGACGCGATCGGAATTTTAATAATAAAACTTTACATTTTTTTTTACATGATATATTTTTAGAATATTTTTGTATTTTTAGTGCATATTTAAGCGCTTATATGAATATTTTTAAGAGTATATTATAGCGCTTATAACTAATTTTTTTAGAGCTATATGTTATGAGCCCTGGTCATCACCATCCAATCCAACAAAATATTTATTTATTTTCTTATTTACTTGAATTTATAACATCCCCAAAGAGGTAATTAGTACAGCATTCTAGTTTACAAAATATGTACAGATATAAATATTAAATGTTTAAAAATAAAGTAAAAATGACATAAATATATATAATATTATATAATTACATATAATTAAATATAATTTTATAAAAAATATTTTGCGACAAGGATGAGTTGATTTTTTTCTTATACTAAAAGTTGTAATGTTAAAGTTTATTATCCTTAAGAATTCGGGGTAGGATAAATTACCGTTTATTAATTTATAAACAAAAACTATATAATTGTATAACCTTTTAGAAGCCAGTGGTACTAGACAAAATTCTGCAGCTAAGATATCTAAAGAGACGTCGACTCGATGTAATTTGTTTGCCATCATTCTTGAGAAACGTCATTGAATTTTTTTAAATATATATATTAGTTTGCGTGGAGGCCGTTACGTCATATACTAGGTGGACGCGATTTCACGAGCAATAAAATTCAAAACAAATTTTATTCATGGGACGTCTTATTTGTATAGAAAATAGGCGGGCGATAATAATATTATCGCTCGTGTCAAAACAAATTTGTTTTGACGCGGGTGACTGGCACTATTTTCTGTAGAGTGAACACAGGAGTTTTATCTTGTGTGTATATTTGTTTATGCATAATTTAATAGTATGAATGCAAAGCAGAAATTTCAAAATCAAAAGTTCAAAAAAGGCCTATGCTATACAACGTAAAATATTCAAATCATCGTAATCAACTTTCAGTAGATAAAGCGTGGGAAACTGTGTACTAAAAGGTTGAAATGCTGTCGTATTATAGAAAATTATATTACTTATATCCAAGGCTTGGAACTTAATGCGCTAAAAAACTATGAAATATGTGCATACGTATGCACTAAAAAAACGCAAATATGCAGTATAATATGCATTTATTTTTTTTATAAAAAAGATGTATTTTAAAGCATAATTATAAAAAAAATGATTTTTGAATCATAAATATTTTATTAATATTTTTCTTTTGATGATTTGAAGCTGTTATATTGAATCTATTCTTAGAATTCTAATTTAAAAAAAATAGAATTCATTAAATACAGCGATTATTAAATCATATTAAGTATTAATTGTTACATTTATCTGAATTACCCTGAATGATAAGATGCTTTTTTATGTTTTCGAGTTTAAATGATAGTCTGTTGTAGCTTAGAAGATTTTTGTAAACAGAAAATGATCATTTTTACGTAAGCTATTACTTTATCAACAGTATCAAATTGATTTCGTACTTCCTCCGAAACTCTATGGAGACCATGAGCAGCATAAGTCAAATTTACCATTTTTGAGTAGAGTGCGTTCATAGATCTCTCACATTTTATCATATACGGTGCAGCGTCGGACAAAAATAATAATACGTCGTCATGCCTTATCCCATCAGGCCATAACATGTTTAAAGATTTGTCAAAAAGTTTACTAACCGTAGAGTGATTAATTTTTTCTAGTGCTTCAGTATTCAATAAAAAAATTGAACCAGCAGTATCCTCTTCCAAAGTCCCTATTTACATTTACTATATACCGACATTCTGCGTCTGTTGTTTCATCAAATGACACCCAAATTTTTCGGTCGAAAACACGTTGTCTAATTTTTTCCATCATTTCGTTGTAGCAGTCGTCTAAATAGAATTTTTGAAGTACTGATTTTGTGGAGACATCTTTTACAGAATAATCTTCTAAAAATTTCCGAAACTCTACATTTGATAATTTATTAAGTGGTATATTAGCAGAGATCATAGCTTTGCAAAAATCCAGGTTGAACTTCGATTTTTTAGACGATAAATCATTGGTTAATAGTGGTTGGCACTTGGTTTTTTTTTTTATCTTCTTTTCGTTTAACGCAAATGTTTTTCTATTTTCAAGTGCTGTATTGCACTAGATCTTCTTTCAGAATCGAATTTCGTTTCGCAATACTTGCAAAATAATACTCTAGTATTAATACCAAAAACATTTTTACCGAACTCGGATACGAAAGTATTTAAACGACTACTTAAATTTTTTTTTTTCTTTAGGCATTTTAACTTTTGTCTGACAAATATTAAAATCACTATTTTACGTGGCACGTGGCACGGTTTTAACAATACGAACACACTAAATTTAACAGTAACAAACCACTGTTATCGTATATATTTTCGACACACGAACGCACACATACTAATAAATACTAACATACACCTCAATACAACACAATACAATATCGTTGGTGTGTGGGTATTTTGTTTAATTTTATCAAACGAGCGACTTAAATATAAATATAAAAATTACGAGTTAAGAGTACGAGTTACGGCTATTTGTATTTACAAGTATAAACATTAAGGCAAACCGGAACGTGTATACGAGCTGGTTTTTGTATAACTGTACAGGTTTTGAAAACTGTTCAGTTTTCCAGAAAGAATTAAAAATTCATATTTTCTACCTGTACAGTTTTGCATACCGGAACGTGTGTGTAGTTTACCTGACAACTGTTCAGGTTTCAGACGCTTTAAGGCATCATTTATACATTTATTTTCAACTATTTTTAATTTTGTCAGCGTTGCTTTTCAATCTTTTTTTCTCGCCAGCGTTGTTCAGTACATATTACTGTATATGTGTGTGCAATCCGTATCTCAAATTTTCTATTCTTAGGTCTACGATAAGTCTTGAACGAGAAATACTTTTATATTATTATTTCATGTAATTTTAGCATTACTTTATCAGTTGTTCGAGTGTGGTCGACTGTGTAATACGTAATTATATATAGGCTACTTATATGTAAATCATTATATTTACAATATTAAATTATTCAAAACTTGTTTATTGTTGATTGCTAATACCTTTTTAATATAAAATGCATTTATGTACTCAAAATCTTTAAATATGCAAAATCATATAAATTTAGTAAAATATGCAAAAATATGCAACATAAATTATTTCATTTAAATTGTATGGTTCATGAAACAAATTTGTATCGAATCAGATTTTAAATATGCAGTTTCCTGAGTAAGATGCAAATTCATAAAGTTCCGAGTCCTGATTATGACTA